CTGTTTCCCAAACTACCGGTATTTACAGCCTCTTCTACCTCCTTTGGGATTTGAGCAATAGGCTTTTCTTTAAGAACCAAAATCTGTCCTGCTTTTGATTCAGGGATTTGCATTATTAATTCACCATTCTCAAAAATGATCATTGCATTCAATTTGGCAAATAAGTCCCATCCTAAAAGGGGAATGGGGCATTCAGCTACATATAGAAATTCATGAGTTAATTCCTTCCCTCTAAATCGCAGATCTAGGGTCTGCAAGAATGGCCGTATTTCCTCCTTCCCTGCGGCTCCCACAATTGCCATCATTCTTTCCCCTAACCTCCCGTGTAAATCATTTAAAACTGAATAGGTAGCCCCTGTGTCTATTGAAAACTTCACTTCTTTTTCTCCCAATTGGATTTTGAGTTTTCATAATCATTTTCATTACATGGGCTACTTTATCAGGGTTTTCTCTATATGCTCCTGCTGATTGTTTCCAGATGATTAAATCTCCAGACGAGGAAGGTACCTTAACATACACCAGGCCCTCAGCTCCCACCCCCTGTCTTAAAGGCTCCAGCACTGCTTTAGGTACCTGGATTCACATTTTTCCTTCCCGATTTCCCCTCCAGCGAGTTCTGTGTGAAACCAGAGTATCAGGGAGGGTTGCCCTCTGATCTTCCGTACACTGGCAACTTCCCATGCTTTCGAGATCACTATCACTCTCCTCCTCACTGTCATCTTCTCCCCCCCCTTCCTCCATTCGAAGCCGGTGGGGCTGATGGGATCACTACTAAATCCAGACTTTCAATGTCCCTCTGGTGTGGTAAACTATTGTCTACAGCAAGGCATTGCATATACCTTTTTGGTAAAACATCCCTTACACTGTTGATTAGCATTTACCTTCACATCCATTATTCCACAGGATTTTTTTTGTATTTTTTTTTCCACTCATCATTATTTCTTAAAGCAAAGAATAGATAAACATATGGTACCTCATCCCATTTTTCTTCCCTTTTAAAATACAACATCAACTGCAATATAGTATTGTACTGTAAAGTCCCATTTTCAGGCCATTTCTCCTGATCCTCTACTTCATACTGTGTCCACCATACATTACAGTAATCAATTAGTTTACTTTTCTTCATACTCTGCCCAAATCGACCCTCCTTCCAGTGGCTTAAAAGACAGCCTAATGGGGACGACTTAGGGATCAACGACATTTTACAAATACAAAGAGATATCTAAAACAAGTTGGTTTTGGTTTTTTTTTTACTCACCACTGAGTTACAATGTCTAGCTAGACAGATGCTGATCCCGCAGCACAAATACCAATACCAATACCAAACCACGTTTGCCCAACCTGCAGAGCTTTCGCTACTGCCTAACGGACGGTGCCTAGGCTTTTACCCCGAGAGCTCTCTAGCCCCAACCAAGCACAGCTTTCGCCGCATCTAATAGGCAGGCTTTACTACTAGCCCAGCCAAACGCAGCTTTTTCACTGCATCTAACAAGCAGGCTTTTACCAGATCTTTACCAAAGGTCAATACCATACATTTACTACCAAAGGTCAATACCATATATTTACTAGAAATCGGTACCGTAACCCAGATCAAAAGCACCTTTCTTACCATATCAGTGGTCCACCGTGAGCAGAGGAGGTTGGTCACAGTCGATGGCTCCCCGAGAATTTCTCGGTGCCGGCTGGAGCAGGATCGAGATGCGATCCTCCTCAACAGTGCCTGCGAGGTCCATCTGGGGTGCCAAAATGTTAGCATAAGAACTGACACATAACCACCAGAATGGTCATATGAGGTGCTTTACTCCCAGCAGCGCTGGGAAACCAGGGGCACGTGCCCAAATCTGGCTTCAACTCCGTTACATCGCACTCGCAATTTATACACTAAAAATATCGTCACTAATACATATTCAACACAGATTACATCATTGACTAATACATATGCATCAAGGATTGCCACATCAGTCTATTACAACATCAGCCTCTTCTGCGCTTGTGCAGCCCCCTCTGGTTATTGCCCTGATGAAGTAAGGAGTCTTCCTCAGATGAAGAAGTCCTCCTCAGGTTGTCCTCTTCACCTTTTCTCTACTTGGCTAGGTCCCAATCGTCTTGTGGATGTTAGCGTTCTCTTATCTTCACCAGGATGCTTCTGGTATGCCCTTTTTGGCTATCTTAAACTTAGGTTCTGCTTGGGTAGAGTTTTACAATACATACACCCACACTCCCCTCAGCATATACAGTTATGTTAGGTCTTGCTACCAAGACTACCATTGTAACATTTAGTTACAGAGTAACTGTGATACAAAATGGCAAAGTTACAACGTCTTCTAATATACAAAGCCTCACTATTGATTTATAAATTTCTCAAATATAATCATTTTACTATTTTATATGATTATTTTATTGTAAAAACTTCACCCTCTCTAACAGTATTATATTGTATTCTATTTTAGTTATTAAATTGTTCTTATCTCAACCCATAGGTTTTATATTGTTTACATTTGCATTGCTATTATTACACGTCCTGTCACAGTCACTTTATTTTAGCAGCCCCTTGTGCCTGTGACATCATCTACTTGTTTACTTATTTGCTCATTTATTTATTTGCAAAGCTTTGTTTCTGCTGCTAGCTCCACTGCTCTTTCCACTGTACTTCCTGTGTTCCTGAAGGAGAACATTGAAGAAGAATTTACATTTATATTTACATGCCTGGGGAGGGAGGAAGGATGGAGGAATGAGCGAGCAGCTGCATGGTATCTAGTTGCTGGTTGGGTCGAAACCACAACACAGCCCAAGGTTTCTCTAGTTTCTCTTAATGGGACCCTTACGTAACTGTCCCCAAAATAACCGGGGTAACAAAACAACAAATCTGACAAGAGGTATTAAAGTCTATTTCATTTATCAATTGGGCAATTCTAATACCCTTACACACAAATTTCATCATCAAGTTTGAGGTGCACTTAGGACATAAGAAAAAATTTCATTTCTTGTATTTCAGAAAAGCATTTCTAATTTGTATGGTGGCTAGTACTGACACTATGAATCTTTTCCAAGCATAATGCAGACTTCCTAGAGGATATACTATTGCACATTATCAAATTGGTAACTTTTGCTGGCATTTTTAAGATACCATTGGTGCTTGAGACTGGCAGCAATAAAATGACAGAGGCAATATAGATATTAAGTGTTTCAGGTGAAACCAATCTTAATGAGCCATCAAAGAATGTGTAAGTGATTCACACTACATTCTTAGCTCATGGGCACCAGAAGCACTTATGTTTACTTAAAAAGAAAAATGTTGTTTGCTATTATTACACATGTCCTATTACAATCACTTCATTTTAGTGGCCCCTTTTTGCCTGTGCCATCATCTACTTGTTTACTTATTCACTCATTTATTTATTTGGAAAGCTTTGTTTCTGCTTTTAGCTCCACTGCTCTTTCCACTGCACTTTCTGTGTTTCTGAAGAAGGGTTGTCATTTCTGCCAGAGGGGGTTTCTGAGTGGGAAGGGTTCCTGCTGATGGCTGTACTAGCAGAGTGCACAGACTTATGCAGTTAACAAGCAGACACAGAACCCACATCTTTTCATGTCCCAGATGCAGGTGGATAAGCTGCCCACCCACAACAGATATTCTCCTGCAGAAGGAGCTCTTCTAAGCTCATTTTAGCAGTTTTCAGGAGGGAGACCTAGGACATATGCCACCACTTGTTTCTTTTGTGGCTTGGAATAAAAACATTTCAGACAGTAACTAAGATTTTTTTGCATGGGGTCAAGAACAGAGTTTGTTTGGAACTCGTAGAACACTCCAGTGTAAAGACAGGTTCAAACATTGCAGCTTCTGCTTTCAATATTCACACGCTTAATTGAGTTTTTCTTTTTTATCAGTTTGCCAGACTTCATTTGGTTGTTAGGAAAGTTTTGTGGCATTTTCTCCAATAATATGATTATATTGTGTTTATAGCGGTTTGATGTTCCCCTTCTTTATGTAAGTTCTTATTGCCATAGTCATCACAGGTGTTAAAGTCAAGGTTTTCAGACCTTTTGTATTCTATAAAGGAAAATTCAGGCCAACTGAATGTTTACTGTCATTTGCAGAATGTAATAATGATAGGAAAAGTGAAGAAAGTCTCCCTTTGACCTGGAAAATATGGAGATTTACCTACCTCTACAAACCAAGATTTCTGACTCTCAATAGAATTGTTGAATGTTGAAACCCAGCTTCCACCGGGTTTCTAACAAATCACTAGAAATGCATGGTTTCAGCTGCTCTCAGCACCCCCAATAAAATCACTTTTTCAACTAAGAGGGATGTTTCCCCAAAGGAGTAAAGCATTTCCTATATGTTAACAAATATGGTGTTAGGATGGGAAACTCTAAAAGTCCTTCTGAGAAAACAACTCTAGTATAGCAAGAATTTCCTCTTATTGGTTCTTACCGGCTTCTCTAAATGCAGATTCCAACTCTAATCAGAGGCAACATACATTATACAAAGTGGAAAATCCACTGTAAATATTTTACTATCCATATAAAGAGTTGGTAATGTATAGGCATATTAATACAACCTGTGTTGTTTCCTTATTGTCCTTTTATAATTTCAGAAAATAGTTCAGTGGTTTAACTTCAAAAAAATGGAAATAATGATTAAGGTTTAAGTGTTAAGTTTACAACTTGTCATTCTTCTGTATAATTTCTGTAAGCAAAATAGAACTCTTTTCTGGATTGTGCCTTGTTTTAATGTTTCTGATTACACGACAGTTTTGGTAGCAGCAATTGCATTCTGCCAAAATTCCTACTTCAACAAGAGATCCAGAAGCAGGCCTGCTTAATAAATGAGCTTAGTCGAGAAGTTGCTTGTAATGGTGGGTGCTTCTCATCACCCAAGAAGGTAATTACACTGTATTTTGGAAATACTGAAAAAATTTCTATTTCACATGCAGCTTTGTGGCATATCAAAGCCAGATTCCAGTTCTGGTGAAATCTGAAGACCTTTATTTTGCATCTCTCATCCCTTTTACAGACCTCTAAGTGCTAAGCAGTAACTTTCCACTCTCTTGCTTCCTTATCATCTTCATTTAGCAAAACTACTAAGGGTTACAAACATTCACACTGTTTGGTCTGTCTTTGAGATGCACATCCTCCTTTATCTTACAAACTGCCTGCTGTTTTGCTAACCGATCTTTACCCTTCATTGCTCTCTTTACATTTTCCAAAGCTTAGGCCCCAGCAGGGCATTAACAACTGGTGTTTTCATCACCTTTCCCAGGGCTTAAGCCCCACCAGGGCAATAGCACCTGGTGTTTTCTTTACCCTTCCCAGGGAGTAAACCAGACCAGGGCAATAACGCCTGAATCCATTTCATTAACTATTTATATCCTGTCACCCACATCTCCCACTTTTTGTTTTACTAAAAGGCAGCTTTTATAGATTTATGATTGACTTTTGCCAAAGTTCCTATATTCTCCATTAACTATAGTAGCAAACAAGGCACACAGATTAGAATACCTATAAAGACTGACAAAATGATTAATCCAAACAAGGTACACAGATTAGGATACCTAAAAAGACTAACAAAATTATTACGATAAAGTAAAGTCGTCCTGTAATGTTCAAGCCAGAAAACACTTTGTTCAACCAATTCAGTCCCTCATCTTCCTGAAGGTGTGCTCTCCTTGTTATTAAGTCCGGAATGCTATTATGGATGATCTGATAAATTCGTGCAGCACATACCATCAAAATCTTCACACCCATGGTCTTGAGCTAACAATAAAAATCAACAGCCATTCTGTTCTGTAGTGAGGCATGCCTCATACAATCAATGTCTGAAAGCAACTCTATTGTCTGGTGGTACCCTTTACCTGCTTAAATGTTCCCAGTCTATTACTAGTGGCAAGAAAGTCCAGTTGTGACACACTCCCACGTGGGTATGCTCTCTGTTGACTGTTTCTCCAAAAGGAGACTGGTTAATTTTGTACAGTTCCCACAGGTTAACTTCAAACCAGCGATGAATTGGCATCTACCTTCATTGGCAGCCGTCACATGTATAAACAGATGGGTACATCACACGAGGATCCATCAGGATCCTTGTTCTTTGGAGACGCAAGCATAGCCTCTTCCCCAAGTTATTAACCCAAAAGGACCTTCCCAGTTATGATTTTCCAAAGACTTTACCATTACTGTTAGCTTAAGAACTGACACATAACCACTGATATGGTTATATGAGGTGCTTTATTGCAGCGCTGGGAAACCAGGGGCACGTGCCCAAATCTGGCTTCAACCCCGTCACATCGCGCTCGCAATTTATACACTAAAAATGTTGTCACTAATACATATTCAACACAGGTTACATCATTGACTAATACATATGCATCAAAGATTGCCACATCAGTCTATTACCACATCAGCCTCTTTTGCGCTTGCGCAGCCCCCCTCTGGTTGTCGTCCTGATGAAGTAAGGAGTCTTCCTCAGCTTGTCCTGTTCACCTTTCTGTTCCTTGGACATGTCCCAGTCATTATGTGGATGCCAGCATTCTCTTATTTTCACTTGACTGCTCCTGGTACTTTCGTGAGTTCTGCTTCGGTAGAGTTTCACAATACTCCCCTAAATCCACCCATACACACTTCCCCATATATGGCTATGTTAATTGCTTATCATTATAGCTACCATTGTAATATTTAGTTATAAAGTAACTAAGATACACAATAGTAGAATTTCAACTTGTTCTTAATACAAAAGAAACCCTCTACTGATTAACAGATTTTCAAATATATTTATCTTTTCTCTTTGTACTATTGTTTCAGCACACAATTTCACCTATTACTAACATTTCCCCCCTTTGAAAATACTTCATTTCAGCAAGTATTTTCATCCTTAATTTTAAGTTTCTGTCTCCCGATAGGTAGGCAGGGGTGTTGGATACTTTGGATATTCTCTTGTCACTGCTCCTATTATTTGATGAGTCCATGCGCTGCTCCAGGCTATCTCCTTTCGGACACAAAGATACATCAGATATAGTATTATAAATACAATCAGTATCCCAATTACAGTTTGCACGAGGGAACAGATCCATCCTGTAAGGTGAAGGCCCAAACTATCGAAGAGTGCTCCAATCCAACTTTGTTCAATATACTCCTTCTCTTTTTCTGCTTCCTGTTCTCTTTTGGTCAGTTGGGAAATATCGCATTCTATATTTGCAGTTACGTTAGGAATATGAATACAACAATGATCTATTCTGTCTTTCAAATATTCACAAACACCATGTTCTTTAATCAATAACATATCCAATACCATTCTGTTCTGCAAGGTCATTTTTGTTGTTGCTTGTAGCTGTAAATTCAAATCTCTCAATCCTTTCTTTGTTATCCTGGCTAGTCTTTCTGTTTGACCGATCAGATTATAAATCATTTCTCTGTTTCGGTAGGTTGCAACCTGGGCGAATAGGGATTCTAAAGCCCATCCTACTTTGACTCCCGTGGAGGGTTCTTGCCAAGTATCTTCATCATCATCTATATCCCCTTTTGTTTGAATTTTTTGTAGGGTTTCTAGCTTACTTTTAAATGGTGATTTTTTCCAAATTGGACAGAGTGTGGGTAATCCTAAAGTAATTTCTTTAATTGGACCTTCCATAGGTAAGTGGGTAGTCCAGGTCCCATCACTGATTGACCAAACAAAATGTCCCATACTGTGTACTGTTGAGTATTTACAGCCTACAGCCTTGTCTGGAGCATTAATTGCTCTTCCTCCTATTTTTAGTCCTCGACATGCACACCCAGCCATCAAGACAACTTTAACTGGAAGTATTGCAATCTTCTCAGGGTCGGTGTCACAATCCAGAATTCTTGTACAATTCCACCAGGGAACATTTTTAACAGTTTCCCGACTAACTCCGTTCATTGATAGTAAATTATTTATGTCCCCTGTTGTATTTTGTTTCCCCGTCCATCTAAGACACCAGGGTGTATCTTCACCATATTGAAATTTTTGCAGGATACTCATTGACCAGATCGTATCCCAACTTTGTTTTGAGTCATTTACCTTTTGGCATTCCCACATCTTTTCCTTCACTTGTCTATTCACTTTGGTTTTTTTATCATAAATACATCTCCCAACTCCTCCTTCATAAGAGGTAAACTGAGAGTTTAGTTTCTTTTCACATAATGACTTTGTTATGGAAGTCACCAGAATACCTTCCTTATGATATTCTGTCGCCGTTATGTTCTTTGTCATTTCCTTCTCCTGACATGTAATTGTTTTATTTATTTCTGGAAGTGAGAATGTTATTATTCCCCATTCAACTGGTTCTCCGGCTGTTTTTGGTATTGGTAAATTTGCCGTTATTTTACTTGTATTTTGCATTCTTGCGAAATCTGTGATTAGGCCTATCATTAAGTTTTCTTCAGGATCTTGGCGGGATATCTGGACTATTTGTGTTGGATCCACTGATCTTTTCATTCTTTTTCCTGTAACTTCAATTTCATTGTAGTCAATTGCAGATTCATAATTTGCTTTTACTCCATAGTTTTCTGCATAGTTGACGATTAATGTTTTTTCTGCATAATCTACACTTTTATTTGTTTTTATAATGCATCTATATTTGCCCTGGTCCTCAAAAGTTAAGTTTTATAATTTTAATTCTACTTCCCCTGTATTTTGGTTCTGTCCTTTGAGTCTATTTTTAATTTTACCTTTCAACTTCCATTTACCCTGTAGTTGAGTCTTATGTTTCTTACTGTCAAAGATAAGGTCTGGATATTGGAGAGGATTATTTACCTTTTCCCAAATTACCCTTATTGGCATTGATCCTACCGGAATGGTGTCTGTGAACTTGTAGGTCAGAATGGCAGCATGTCCTATGAGCCATGTGAAAATATCTTTCTCTTGAGGAATTTCTATAGAGGGGACAACCATCAACTGTGTTAATGACCAGACAACAATTAAAATTTGGTAAATGAACTCAGATATCTTATTTACATTTCAGTTTCAACTTTGTAGGGCCTAGTACCTGCGTTTCCCAAACCTTGGGAACTTTTTCACTCGTGTATAATGTATCCAAGAATTTATTCTTTCTACCTTTACTGCAGTAAATGTTGTTAACAGCACTTGGTAAGGTCCGTCCCACTGTTCTTTTAATGGTTCTTCGTTCCAGTTTCAGATGTATACTTGATCTCCCAGTTGAATATCATGCACTAGATTCTCTAGAGACAATGGTCTGTTCCATACCAGAGTACTTCTCAATCTGGTTAATGTTTTGCCTAGAGACAACACATAATTATAAACATTCTGATCTCCTTTAATGTGGGTATTAGGATTAGGTTCTGGTGCCTCATATAGTTTTCCATAGAGGATCTCACAGGGGCTCTCTGTCATTCCACTTCTGGGTTTTATCCTGATTTGCAATAAAGCTATAAATAGTGCTTGTGGCCATCTTATTTTGGCCTCCTGACATATTTTACTAATCTGTCTTTTTATCGTTTGGTTCATCCTTTCTACTTGCCCACTAGACTGGGGTCTCCAAGGGGTATGTAAATTCCATGATATTCCCAACAATTTACTTACTTCCTGTACTATTGTTGCAACAAAGTGTGGACCTCTGTCTGATGATATTCCTAAAGGAACTCCAAACCGTGCAATGATTTCTTTGAGTAACCATTTTACTGTCTCCTTTGCTTTATTGATGCAACAAGGAAGGGCTTCTGGCCATACAGAAAAGGTGTCAAACCCTACCAACAGATATCTGTACCCTTGTACCTTTGGTAATTCCACAAAGTCAACCTGCCAATAATCTCCTGGCTCTGCCCCTATCCTGATCCTTCCCATTTCCATCTTTTTTACCACTGGATTATTTTTCAAACAAATTTCACATTTTGATCCTACTGATTTTGACATAGTTAACATCTGTGTGGAAATTATTCTTCATCTTAAATAAGTTACCAGTGCTTCTGCACCCTAATGGCATTTCTGATGTTCAGTTTGAAGAATTTTTCGCATTATTGCTGGTGGCACTATTATTTGTCCAGTTACTGTCGTATACCACCCTTCAGAATTCTTTGAGCCTTTAAAAGTCCTGCCAACTTTTCATCTTCTTTCGAGTATTTTGGGTGTTCTGAAAGATATCTATGGAGTGGGCTTACCTTAAGATGTATCAAGGCCATCATATTCCATACCTGCCGAGCTATTTGCTGAGCTGTCCAATCGGCCAGTGTATTTCCTTCAGATATCTTTGAAGTTTGTCCTTGGTGTGCTTTGCAATACGTAATAGCCACCTGTTTAGGCTTTTGCACAGCAGTTATTAATTCCAAAATTTCCTTTTGATATTTGTTGTGGTTTAAACCCAGTCAGGTAACTTGTTCACTCACTCCCAGTGAGTGGTGCCAAGCTGACAGCAATCGAGGTCCGTGTCCCCCCCCCACCGGGGTTCTCCCCCACTCCCAGAGGAACGGGGAGGGGGATCGAAAAAAAAAAAAAAAAGTGCGACTCCCACAGGTTGAGACAAGAACAGTCCAGCAACCAATGTACACAAATCACCACCGCTACTATCAACTACAACAATGATAAGGGAAAATAACAAGGAAAGAGAATACGATACCACCGGCCAAGAAACGAGTCCCACCTGGAAGCCCGTGTCCTTCCGGGTAACTCCCAGTCACCCCCCACCCCGGGCATGACGTGCTGTGGTATGGAATACCTCCCTGGCTAGCCCGGGTCAGGCGCCCCGTCTCTGCTTCCTCCCGGCTTCCCCTCCTCCCTGGCAGAGCATGAGCCTCACAAAGTCCTTGGTCAGGGTAAACATCACTTAGCAACAACCGGAAATATCGACTTCACCAACATTGTTCTCAGGCTGGAAGTCAAAACACAGCACTGCACCAGCTACCACAAAGGAAAAACATGACTGCTACTGCTGAACCCAGGACATTATCCACCCCTTATTCCATACCATTCACGTCGTGCTCAGATCCCACATTTTCAATACACCATCGCTCTCCCATATATATACATCCATATACATACAGACCAAGAGGAAAAAATCATTTTCAGAGTGCATGGACCAATCCCTATAATACTGCCGAGTCCATTCGGTCCATGATTTTCAAAGTTCATTCTCTGTTGGGATGATGGCTGGAGGGAAGTCAGGGCCAGTCGCTGGTGACCTGGAGACATCTAGTTGATGGAC